TTTTTCTAGTTTTTAAAACTAGAAAAATTGGGCATTATTATAAAGCAATAAAATAAAAAAGTGATTTTTTGTGAAAATCCTCTTTTTTAAGGTAGTCGGATACCTTAAATTACAATTACAATATTTTAATTACATTACAATAATTACATTACCATTACATATATAATTGAAATTCTTTTATTATTAAATTACATTAAGTAATTTAAATAACATAACTTAAATTACGTTACTATTTGAACATTAAAATTCGAAATAAGAATTAGCTTAAGACAAAATAAGACGAATTCATGAAATAAGTGTTAAAGTTAGAATGCCTTTTTCCTTAAAAATATTGTTTCATTCCAAAATATAATATAAGCAGAGGAACAAAGGAAATAAAATAAAAATGTAAGCCGTAATCTTCTCATAAAAATTAATTTTTTTTTAAATCTCACCAAGAAGTTATTAAAGTTCTCCTGAGATTAAGCGGCTGTTTATGAGGAAAGGGGGATGTATTTTATAACGTTAGAAATTGTTTATTGTTCCTTTATATATACTTTAAGCTGAACAAAATATTCGTAGAACTTAATCTATCATATCATTTTTTAATTTTTTTCTATTGTTAATAACTGAATTTTGATTATTTATAGATTTGGCATCAAGTGGGATCAAAATGGTTAATATTTTTAAAACACACCCTTACAACTTTTGAAATATTAGTCCTGTTGATACTAGTTTGGTTTTATTCGATTCAGTGTAAAAATAAATACGTAAAGAAATAATACTTAAGTAAGATAGTAATGTCACAAGCGTAATAGCACGAAAAATGTTCTTTTTATACATAAAAATTCTTAGAATTATTAGTTTCATTCTATATTATCGTTGTTTTAGTTATTAATTTTGTGGCTTCGAATTTAGTGTCACTCGATTCCATGTAAAAAAATGCATCGAAACAACACCTCATTTGTCTATGAAGCAATACATAAGTTTCCTTCAACGATCCGCAGAACCCGATGCAAGATCTTGAGCAACTTCTTACCACTTACTAAGAGGAGGGGGTACTAACAGTTACCACTGAATCGAATAAAACCAAACTAGTATCATCAGGACTAATATTTCAAAAGTAGAGCTTACATTTTGGATGTCTGGATTAAACATTACTTTTTTTATTGAAGGACGCCATGAAGGTGGTCATTATCGAATCATTTAGTTTTTAAAACATAATCGACCTCTAAAATGTACGAATAATATACTGAATATTATTAGAAATGAATGAGATTTTTTATTTTTAAATAGCATTTGCAAGTGTCTCAAATGAATATTCTCAAAAAAGAACGGAATGCGATAAAAATGTATAGTTTGGGACATTATACTTGAGAAGCTAGAAAATTTCATTCCACCATATTGCACATTTAGTTAAACTTCCTGTCAGAAGATGGCACTGCAGAACCGGAATAACAACAATCGGTAAACTGCACCTCGTCTGCACATAGCTGTATTCAAAAATGATGAATATCAGTTGTCTAACGTGGAAATCATAATTAAAATCCCTCAAAAGCGCTCATTATCATGGCGAAATACCGAATAGGAACTTCACGGATTCTTTTTCTCTGCAGCTCTTGTATGCATGCAGCGCCACCGATTGGAGGGAAATTAAACAAAATGTGTAATTTGGAGGAAAGACATTTTCAAATTTCCCAAGCCTAATACCACAAACTATACGTTTTGTTTAAAATCGCGTTCTGTTCTTTTTATTTTATTTATTGACTTCCTAAATTTTTCAGTCATTTTTGAGACACCCGGTGCATATCTTTTAAAGAAAAAAAACATACGATTTTTAAAAAAAAGTTAAGTAAATGATATTTTTAGGTGAGACTTTATTTTAAAATAATACTTTATTGCATTGTTGCCTCTATTGTATTGTTCAAAAATTCGAAAACTAGTTTAACAATTTCTTATAAAAACAGTGCAAATGAAAGCTGAAAATCCTAAAATTTAGCTATAGCACGGTAATTAGTGAAAAAAACTATTATGTTAATGATAATAAGTTAAAATTTTCTTTGTATATTTCCTCTGAAATTGGCGATAATGATTATTTAAAAACATTCTAAAGCGAATTTTGGTTTCGTTTATTAATGCTTACTTCATTGTTCATTACATTAATCGATAGTCTATCATGCTTATTGGTTAATCTATTAACCATATTGCAGGTTTGAAAATAAGGTAACTTACCGATTGTCACAGCATGCCAATGATTATCATTTAAAGTTGATCTTGTATTTGACCTCACTTTTCGGGGACCATCTCCTAAATTGAAAATATAATGCAGATGACCATCTACGAGTTCAATAACGATGAAATCTTGTCCTTTGCCCCCATTGAACAAGATGAGACCATTTGGTTCTAAAGTCTTGAATTGGAAGTATAAGTTCATAGATGAGTATGCTTTTAATTGGGAAAGGCCAATGAAGGTGAACTTCGATTTAAATGTAACAGGATGATGGACGATTTCGTCCTTTTTACCAAATTTCGCTGTTACCTAGTAAATGATCAAAACATTAATTGATTTATAAAAGTATAAAGCATTTTTTTAAAAAAAAATTATTACATAGATAAATTGAAATTTTTTCAAAAATTAAATATTGACTGTTGAAAAGAAAGATAGTGCATAAATTAATAAACTGATAAATAATAATACGCGTTTAGTGTGACGTGTTATGAAAAAAATTTCAGGGTCGTTCAAAAAATTCAAACATACACAAATAGACTTAAAAAAATTTTAATGACAAATAAATATATTATATGGTAAAACAATTCTTACTTATTTTGAACTAGTATAAATATTGTTTGAAATAATTGCCAAATTTACGAGGTGATGGAAAAAATCATCAAATTTGTCACAAAACGGGGAGAAATAGTTAACAATTTGAAGCTGTTCTAAAATGTGAATAATAACGACTAGACATATATTTTTTACGCGAATGTTCATTGACTTCTGTAACAGTTATACTTTCAAAAAAAGAAGCAAAAAATATTAGTAATTAAAATGCATAGTTACTTGGAAATAAACGAAATAACGAACGGAACAAAAATTAAAAAAATAATCACTGAATTAATTGTTAACTGACAGTAAATGAATTAACCGTTTTATGACAAAACAAAATACTGGGAACTGGATTGGAAAACAAAGACAGTTTTACCTTGAAATTAGTCATTTGTCCACTGCGAGCCATGTCAAAGAAATGCTGACCGTTGAAAATGAAATGTTGCATGTGTCCAACAAAATTAGGAACATCCTTGTTCGATGTTGATGAGATCAACGATGCAGGGGGTCGCTCGGTCCCCATTGCTCCAATATAAAGAGTTTGAAAATCCAGATTGATATTTTGACCGCTGAGTTCTAAAAATTATCAGGAAAAAAATTACACTAGAAATCTAGTATATGAATCTTTTTTTTTTAAAAAACTTTTTTCTTCTTTTTTTTTTTAAAACACTGTTAGAAATTTCTCGAAAAAAAATGGTTTAATAACAATTTAAGTGTTAATTTATCATATTCAAGCAAACAATCATTTAATCATAAATTAGATGGTATTCAAACTGTGAGAAAATCCATTTATTAACTGTTTTCACCTAATACGTCTGTTCCTTGGAAATGGGTATATATTATAGCCAAGAGGGCTAATCTGTCAATCTCATGACCGACAGAACAGATGTTAGAGTCATCGTTGACACCCTAATAATTCCTTCATTCCCTTCACCTCATGTACATTAGAATACGATACTATTATTCACGAACAGTTGACAGCAACATAAGCTTGCAAAATTATCTCCTATGTCCAGTTAAATTCTTTTTTTGTGGTTTTGAAACCATGCCAGTTGTAAATGGTTAAAAACTGTATAGTTTTCTATTCTCGAGTCTTAATCACACTAGATGTAAACGGTTTCAAAACCATAAAGGTATAAAATGTTCTTTGCAGTTAAATTTGTCGTTAAGTGGATGAACAGACTGCTGCATTTTACTATAATTTTAGAACGGAAATTCTAACAGTGTAGACTTAAATGTTTAATTCGAAAATGAAGTGTAACAGTTGTTCTTTACAATTTAATGTTCAAATATTCTCAAAATTAAATGCTGTACAAATTTATAGCATGACTACAAGAAGTTTAAAAAACTAAAGTTATTCAAATATAAAATTTATTCTTGTTTTATGCAAATTTTATGTGAGCAGTTTTGTTGTTTGATTCTATTTTCTTGGACGATAAGGACATCTTTTGATTGAAAGCATCTTTCTTCAAGGAAATATTTTATTTATTCATTGTTATTATAGAATAAATTTGAATAGTGTTTTTTCATTTTTTTACTCAGTTTAAATTCATTGCGGTTTACTTTTTGGATAGTAACTTTGTTTGGTAACTATTCGATTATGCAAATATATTCCTTTGAAGTTAAAACACAGTCAACAAAATTATGCACTATTCGAGGAGAAAAATGCTCGAACAATATTTTGTAACCTTATTATTCTTTCCACATGGGACCACTGTCTTAAAAGAACTTAAAGATTCAAAACAAATAACTTTACAATAATGTATACAATGAAATTCCCCAGTTCGAGTTTTTATAAGAGAAAAAAAATGAGATTTCATAAAGTATTATAGAAAATTCAACTAACGACATCTTCAGTTTTTCTCAAAACTATTCGAACAAACAACAACCGCCTTAATATGAACCTCTTCCACTTCGTAGAACGATTTCGTATCGATTGTGAATCGTTTTCATTTGTCCTCAGGAAAACGATCAGAAGAAAAATGTTTCGTGAAAATCGGTGGCAACACAAATAGATCGAACGTTCTTAATTCTGCTTTTCTGTTTTGAAACATTAGTGGTTGTTTACAATTGCTTAAATAATATTTAGGTGGAAAAGTGGTATCCATCCTATTTTCTGTAGTCTCAAGAGTATAGAGACACCACGGTACTGTGAGAAGGAAATGTAACTTTGTGAATGTGCGCTGTCGTTATATTCAGACGAAGAATACTTATATGTTAAATAGTTTATGAATAAAACATACGACCAAAGAGGGAATGTCTAGACTGCAGGGATATACATTCAAATGTGATAAGGCAGTTGAGATAGAGAGGAATTTGCCCAACATTACTTAGATATTGCACTTAATAAAGTAAATACTGTGCTAAATTAGTTCTCGATTTAGAAAGATTTAGATTTTAGTAAGTAATGTAAGTTCTAAAGTCGTACACATTTATTTGCACTAGTTAAATAATTTTTTTATAAAGGTAGGAAACTATTAGCCTTACTAAATATTTAAAAAATTGATATTTAATGAAACTTAAAACAAAATAAACAAGTTTTTGTGTATAGGATTAATTAAAGAACATTAAAGATGCATTCACCTATAACTACAGTATAAAAAATCAGATTTCCATATAGAATACTATCCTTTAATATATGAACTCCGGCATTCACACACTATATTACGGTAAAAGTTACTGGTACTTTTTACTGTAAAATTTTACAGAACAGAAGAATCTGATATACCGTACATTGCATTTAACAACATTAAGGAAGAAAACTACGATTTTACCTATTTTACAGAGGGGAGTAAGGCTAACGAAAAAGTTGGTCTTGCGTACGTTTACTTTCAAAATGGTCTTGAAGTGGGCCATCAAACACCGCATTAATGATCATTGCTCAATCTTCCAAGCGGAATTACTCTGAATTAATCTTGCTGTTAAGGATGCCATTGATGAACCTTTTAAAAATTTTTTAGTTTGCAGTGACTCTTTGTCGTCCCTCCTGGCTCTGCAGGATGTCACAAGCTGCGAAAAACTCATTGAGGAAGTCCAAACTTCTATTTATATGTGCAATATTAAAAATATTTCACTCAGTTTCACACGTTAGGGGTCATACTGGTGTTCATGGCAATGAAAGAGTCGACTTCCTGGCCAAATCTTCCTTATCCCTTAGTAATAAACTCAATACCAGTCTTCCCAAGTCTTATTTTAAATTCATTGTCAAACAAAATATCAACACAGTATGAAACTCAAGTTTTGTGTCCTCTCCCAATTGCAAATGGACTAAATCATTTTTTCCTGCAATCCTCAACAGAATTAAGAGCCATTGGTTCTATACTGACTTTAAAATTACGCAGTTTTTCACAGGACACGGTAACTTCAATAGCTACCTCCATAGATTTCATTTAGAAAACAGCGACGTGTGCATTTGCAACACCGGGATTGACAACCACTCTCACATTCCCTTAGAATGCCCGATGGTCTCAAAAAAACGGGACAATCACTGCAGAGACTTGAATAATAGATGGCTCCCGATTTTGACTGATCTAGTGAAAAAAGAGACTTTAATTTTTTTTTGTAAAATTTATCCACTCAGTCATTTAACCTCTCTCATTCTTCTGTTTTTGTTTTGTTTTCCTCTTTTTAAAAATTTTTTTTTAATATCACGTAAAAATTTTATGTTACTATGCTGTACTTCTGTTGTACCTTCGGGCCCTGTGTGATATTCCTTGGTGCACAGGGAGATATTTTTGTTTTCACAAAAAAAAACATGTACTGCAAAATCATTGAATTACTCTAATTAATACATATTAGTCTAAACATTACGTATAGAATTTTACTGTAAAAATGAATTTTATGTATGCTGCCCTGAGAGCCAATATTTTTTACTGTAATCCGTAATTTGAACTGGAATTTTTCACAGTTGTATAGAATGCCTATTACATACCGGAAAAAGTATGAAAGGATTAATATTTCAAACAATGTCTAGGCAATCTATGGAATGATTAACAAAATACCTGCATGTATTTTATACAATGCTTAAGCAAAGTATAAAATAATTCTTACAATTTATACTTCGCCTGAAAATGCCAAACATTTTATAGAATGACCAGGCATTCAACAGAATGCCGACTTTTCATACAATAATGGTGGAAATTTATTCAAATTCAGATTTTTTAAAAAAGAATTAAGTAAAATATGGTTTCAAATTTTGCCTAGCATGAACTTTATCTTTCTGAGCTTAATTTACTTCACAAAAAGTATCGTTATATGTTGTTAATGTAATTATTAGAATATTAATTTAAAACTGTTGAAAAAAAACATATATAATAAAGGTACTGTAAATTATAACAAAACTGTAAATTTTTGTTCTTGAATAAAAGAAACAATAATGCATTTTTCTATGTAACAGAAATAACTCTTATCTAGGTAACAACTCATTCGATTGTAACAATTTGTAAGTCGTGGTAAACATGGAAATTGAATTTAACACATGTGTTTTTTCTTGGAAGTCTATATGCAGGATTTTACTTTTTAATGCAGTTATAATTCCAAGCAGCTTCTATATAATGTAATAGTTCAATATGCCCTAGCAAAAACAAAGCCTGTCGGCCCAGTTCTAGAAAACTTGTAGCTACTGAAATATTGGGTCAGCATATGATTGCATCAGATGATCGCTGTACTACAGTAGGTGGCTACCTGCTGTTGAATAAACAATGAAAGTCAACAGTTGGCCAGCACTTTTGAACACTGCAGTTGTTGGCTACCCAAGAAATTAATCATAGCATTTTGATGCTTTATCAGGATGAGATAGTCACCGCTGAATCAATAATTAGCTGTCTAAAATATGCATCCATTCATCAGCATCTTGTCGAATTATAGCTTTCGTCAATCTTTCGTCACGCAGGCATCTGAAGGGCAGATTTTTTGACCACTTTTTCAGAGGCACCATTGCCAAAGTTGTCCCCCCTTTAAGGACAAATAGTACAGAGAATGATAGAGCATCCATGCCTTGCCCGAGATTCGAACCCAGAACCTTTCTGATGCTAGGCCAGTTCCCTGACGTCTGGTCAGTAGAAGTCAGTAGGAGAAATACAAGTCCCAATTCAAAATTTGTAAGAAAAGCAATAATTTAAAATTTATCGCATTTATCGATTTTTAAGTAATAGCATTACTGTGACTAATAATTAGTTGATAAGTTCTATTAGAATTAAAACTCACAAAATAAAGATTATTGTAATGGTTTTCTGAGCATTGTTTTGTTTCAATAGGTTACAAAAATATTTAAAAAGTTTTTTTTAAACACTTGAAAAGGTGCTTGAAAATTGTAAAAAGCTTTAGAAAAAAAAAACACCCCAGATACATCTGGTGTCTCAAATCCCCTTAATTGTCAGTACTAGTTTGAATTTATAAAAAATTGTACTGAAATGATGATATACTGTATTCTCCAACGGTTTCCAACACTTTAACAAATCGCTGCTGATTTGAATGTAACAAATCAAGCAGCAGCATTATAAAAACCATTGACCAAACCAAAGCAGCTTTATTAAAACCACATGATACTTTTTAGCTATGTTATCACACGATTCATC